CAGCGGCGGAAGCGGTAGTTTCCTCAGCAGCCTCCCCAGGCGGCGCAGGGGTCCGTGCGGCAGCGTCGCCCTCCGCCGGCCGCGCCGGGTTCTTCAGCGCAGCTCAGCTCAGCGGCCGCGGCCGCGCCCCGTGCCCGGGGCTGGGGGTTCCGCTCTGCCGGGGCTAGCGGCAAGGGCGGCAGCTTGCGGAGACGAAGGTGCGGCTGAACCTGCCGGCGATGATGCCTGCACGGGTCTCGGCGGCGCAGGGGTCCGTGCGGCAGCGTCGCCCTCCGCCGGCCGCGCCGGGTTCTTCAGCGCAGCTCAGCTCAGCGGCCGCGGCCGCGCCCCGTGCCCGGGGCTGGGGGTTCCGCTCTGCCGGGGCTAGCGGCAAGGGCGGCAGCTTGCGGAGACGAAGGTGCGGCTGAACCTGCCGGCGATGATGCCTGCACGGGTCTCCCAGCTGTTTCTCCCGCTCTCTCAAAGAGATTTGTAAGGTTCAATGAAGTCGTACAAAGCCAGATGTCTTTTTCACCAGTACTTTGCAGTTTATCTGCGAACCTGCCATTGCGAGTTGCCATTTTGCAGATTAGCAACAGTTTTGTGGCTACTAAAAGCTTGCGTGTTCAAGAGAAGGCTGCCTGGGTTTGAGGCAGCGAACCTACGCTACCAGCGAAGTCATGTCTGGTTCAGGACATCCCTGAGCTGTGAGCTGCTGGAGACTGCGAGGGCGTTGGAGCTCGTTTGCTCTCTCATGGGCTCGTGCCCCAGCCAGCCACTCTTGGCTGGTGTCTCAAAAAGTAAATTGGGCTGATGCTCTTTTAATAAAAGGAAGTCAAAACCACCCCAAACCAAATATTTTGGAGGCAAAGATAATAAGAAAGGGTGAAACTAAAAGTAAGGTACACACAGGTACCATGTTGGGACAACTAAAGCAGAAGAAATAATTATTTAGTAACAATTTAAGGGAAGTAGAAGAGTTGGAAGATGAACTAAAACGTAACAAAAGGGCTGCAACTCCTCTCCCTGGGGAAAAAAAAAAGATGCTCACATGCATTTTTTTTTTACTTCATTTTTGTTGTTTCCCTTTGTAGTAACATATCTTGATGCAAATTAAATTTCTGAAACATGCTGTTGGCCAAGGGGGTTTTGGTGGTTTGTTTGTTTTTTTTTTTTAACTTTTTCACTATTACTTTCATTGAAGCGGCTAAAGAAATATAAAAAGCAACTCAATTTAATACATTATTTGGCATGGCATGGCATGAATGAATGTACGTTTTTGTCTGCAACAATTCAGACAGCTCTGTCAAATGCAAAGAATGCATTTTGTGCTCAAGAAAAATTTGCCTGACTTGATGCGTGAGTTCATGCCACAGGATACACACACTCTGAAACATTTCCTACATGAAATTCTGTCAATGCACACTGATCTTGACCAGTAACACCCTTCTGAGCTCCTGTCGTTTCTTTTCTAGATGCTCTACAGAGAGAGTAACAAATTTAATACTCTGTTGTGTGGACACAATTCCAATTGGCAGAGGATCAACCTTTTCAAACTTAGGCAACAAAAACTCCTGCTTCACAGTAGGCCTCTAAATGAATAGGACATTTTTTCTTTCCCCATGCATGTTTTTCTTGTAGACACCTGGATTTGACAACTGAAACCTGAAGTCCGATTACCCTCATTTCTGCTAAGTGCAACTTCTCCAAGTTGTACAGTTTCTAATAGCAGCAACAAGAAATGAAGTTAACTACCTCTCATCTTCTCTATATAAATACGTGTGGTGCATCTCAACCATGTTATATATAAAATGGAAGATGCATTTACTGTTTGGAAGAGTCCAAGTTCATTACCTCGGTTATAAAGTGTGTGTGAAGGGAACTAAAACAAGACCCAATGCATCACCTTAATTTAAAAACTGGGGAACAGGAAGGAGCTACCAGATAAAAGCAAACATAAAGCATTGTCTATTAATAGCTAACTATCTCCTCAAAAAAACTGAGAAAAACAGAAGGCTAAAGAAGATTAATTAAAACCTTTAGGAAAAGGTCCTTCTTCTCCTAGAAGTAGCTCCCTGGTGTCAGTAAGGTTCATGGGATTTATCTTCTGTCTTAGACCCGGTTAAATCACTCATAACATAATCACTGTAGTGAAGGGAAAATACGTTTCTCTCTAAAAGATAGTAAATTATGTATTTGGCTTAGACACCTAATGTTTAAGAAGAAATTAAGTGAACTCAAAAATAAAACTCAAGAATGCATTTATATTTGTAATTCACTTTAATGGTATAAACCTCATTTAGGTAGTAGTATTAAGCCACAACAATATAATGCCACATTTAAACAGCATTTAATAAAATGCATAAGCTAAATCATGCACTGCAATACTCTATATACAAACACAACAATGCAAATTCCTCTTCATAACTGAAGACATTGATTAGATATAAAATTCAGATTAAAAAAAGAACATGCTATTATTTTTAAATGCTATCACACATAACAATGCTGATTTCACAAAAACAGCTGTGGGAAATTAACAACTTTTGCAAGGTTTTTAACTTGAAATTAAAATATAATAACATAAATGATAGTTTTCTAAATTATAATGAACAGAGACTTCCAGAAAATGTCCCAAGGAATTAAAAGTAGATTATTCTTTTTATAAAAATTTGCTCTTTTTGTAGAGCTCAGAACTCCCTGGTATGCCAAACAGATACAACACTTACACAATGTGCAGTTTTTCAGTTATGAAACTGTTTGAACACTGGCTTGCAATGTATTTTGGAGTACAGATTAATTATTAAAAATAGTCCCACATTTAACGTTGATTCCATGTGTGAGAAATTTAACATACATGCTCTGTACGTAACATGTTTTCTTCTTAAAGAATATCCTTTTTATTTGAAATTTATTCAGTCCTACTTTTAACCCGCAATCATTGAAAATATTTTTAAATGGACCTGTGCCTTATTATCATTTATCTAAGATAATTAAAAAATGTATGAGAAGCCAGTTATTCAGGGGTGTTAGATACCTGGCAATAGGTGTGCTTCTCAGACTTTTGCTTTCTGTGATCAAATACAGAAAGCTGATTTCACCTGCCAGTTTCCACAGAATATTACAACAGAGCCTCTATTGCGACTTAAATTTGAGTGCATTTTGTCCTTCAGAATACAAACAATTCAAATGTGTATATAAAACAAGTTCACAATTTTAAAATATGCTTTTTTCTAAATTCACAATTGAAATTTTAAGCAGATTCAGTCCTGATCAATACCCTAGCTGGCTTCCTAATCTTTAAAAATGTTACCACAGTACAATGATGTTAATAGACACAGGTTTCCATTCAGCCTTTAAAGAGGAAAGCAAACATTATTCAAACAGCACTGATTGTCAAGACACCAATGAAGGACCATCTGTCACAGGAATTCCTGCCATTAATTTAAATAATTTTCTTGCGGAAAATCTCAAAATAAGGTTTGAAATGTTAAAATGGATGTTTTACCTTTTTTTCCTATATTTGAAACAAAAGCTTACAAATGCTTACTAAACGATAGAGCGAAAAACAGAGAACATTCTTAGCATTTTCCATAGCAAAGACTTTACAAGCAGAGGGCCTGACTCTGAAAGAGACTTGTGTTTTACTTTAAGCATGCAAGAAGCTCACCTGGTTTTAATTGGTGTCTGCTCATCTGCTTAAATGTACACAAGTCTTTGCCATGTTGAGTACAAAAGGTGGAAATAAATGCCCAGAAAATTCCGCTTCACCTTCTTAATATGACAGAAACAAGACTTGCTGAACTACTCCCCTACATGGTCTGTGAAATGCTTTTTTAAAAAATCAAAGTTAATAGAATTACTTTTACAAAAGGCTTCCTTTGTAACTTAAGTCATCAGAAGGGAAAAGGAACAAGAACTACTTATATTTTGATAATTTAAATGTTTGAATACTCCCTAAGAGTAATAAATTGTCTTACTGCAAGCCTAATTTCATAAATGCTCCATGTGCCCAGCTCCCATGTGAACAATGGAAACTTGACACACACAGTGCAAGATCTGCACAGATTACAGTTCAGGGAAGGAGAGAATGTGAAAATGGACATCAGTCTGACAACTAAATAAACTAACCAACTTTGTTTAGTTTAAGATAGACAATAAAGAGAGTAACTTTGGTAAGTGGATATACAATTCAAATGCATTGTGAAAATCCTAAATAAGTCTTGATGCTCACTAAGAAATAAACTAACTGCAATCTCCCTCTTATTTAATTACCACTGCAACAGAAATGTCATCGTTTCATTGAATGGAGGACATCATAGTCTTTGTTTAACTAACGGTTTGGTTTCATGTTATCATTATGGCAATATGAGTATTGATTTTTTAAACAGCATCCATTGCATCCTGTTCTGTGTGCTACAGTTCAATGATAAAGGGCAACTTGTTTTTCTTCCAATTAGCCACTGCTGAAGACTTTAAAAAAAAAAAAAAAATCAATCTCTTACCAACTTTCACTGCGAAATAAAACTTTACAAAAAAGTCTCTCAGAAGGCTGAAAGAGAATGAGTATATATTGAAAACAGGGAAGTATTTTCTATGACTGTGGTTATTTATTTATTAATTTATTTTTAACAGACATTGTATGTTCAATTAACTATTCACTAGCAGACTTCTACATGTCAAATGAGAAAGGTAAAGGGAGTAACGTAAAAGCCAGAAAATTCATGGAACATATTTGTCAGTTCTGCACAGAAAATACTAAATTCAGGCTAGATTTAGAAAAAGGTGCAAAGTTCTGAAATTCATGAGGATTCACCTGCTTAAGCGAGGCTTAGTTTGGGCTGAGAAATGAAAACTGGGAAGCTCTGGATTAGCAAATGAATGAAAAGCTTTAACATATAGAACGGTATGAATACATGACTACATATCTGTACATATATACATACACTACACACTTTCTATACACTGTACATAATATATTTAGACAGATAGGTATAAACATATACATTCATACACACATACATACAACTATGTACATATGCATTAGCTGCTCGAGTGAGTTTTAGAATTGAACATGCAGAAATGCACAATGGTGGGAGGCACAAAATAAAGATGTGTAAAAATCTATCAAACCCTTTAAAAAGAAGGAAGACAAGCATGAATTTAACAATAATAAGCCATTTTCAAAGCATTCATGTAACTCGGAGGATAAAACAGGCTGTGGGAATTATGGAACATTATGACAGTATTATCTGTGATGAACTTAGTGTGACTTCACCACAGGAAGCTCAGTAATAAGGTAATTCTGGGATTTGATGCTTTCAAAGTCTAATATATTTAGACTTAGAGCATTTAAACTTCATGAAGAATTTTACTTTAACTTGCAACCTCAGTATAAATAATGTTCTAATTTTTTTTGCACAAATAATTTCCCATATAATGTTGGTAACATTGATTGCAGCAGAAGTAGGGTTGTAGCATTATCTAACAAGAGGGGTTACGGCATTTTTCATCAAACAGTAAGCCTGAACTTAGTTCAGGAGAATTTACTGTTAAAATGACTCAGCAACTTTAGAATGAAAAGGTGCAAAAAGTAAATGTTTTCATTTTCTCCCTTTTGCCATGCCCTCTTGGTAATTTTTCATATAAAGCTGGTTTTTAAACTAATTTTCTGTCATTCAAGATCCAGTAGATGCTGGCAATTTGTCCTTTCTCTGCCCCTTACTCTCTTCTATAGGGTGAACGTGGCCTTATTTTGTTGATTCTCCCTGGATGTATGGGGGCATCAGGACTGCAGATGTTGTGTGCTTGCTCTCACAGCAGGCCCATGCTTATCATTAGAGCAAACCACGGCAGCAGCTGTTCTGTTGTACGGCAAGTGTGGCAAACTGCTGGGACAGATGGGAACCTACTTGTTGTTTGCCTGGTATTTCTGCTTTTTCTCTTATGGGCAAGAGTAGATGAAAAAGAACCAACTTACCCTGCTTTTGCACTCTACAGAGTAACCAAAGGAGAGGAGAGGGATTTCAAATAGAAAAACAGTTGTTGGTTTGGTTTTTTTTTTTCTTTTCAGGGTGATATCATCTTGTAGGTATTTGCTGGTGCACCTGCGTATGTCTGATTGACCTGCCAGTTCTATGGCCCACACCACCCAATTCAAACAGGGCCCCTGACTGGTGCTGTTATTGCAGAAAGCTGCTTTGATCACTGCTTTTTTGGAAGTATCCTCAGCCCAATAATTTCCAGTTCCCTTTTCCTGGCTAAACTGTATTCCTGATACTACTATACTTGCTACTCATGCTATTTGGTGCTTTTTTAAGTTATCCCTTACTAATTAAACAGCAGGTAATCAGGGAAGAATCCTAACTACCCTCTTAATTTTAATGGGCAGGAAAATGTACTGACATCTTCAGCATCTTGGATGAAATCATTCAGGAATCTGTGAAAGTCCCATGTACTATACCCAACAGTGAAAACACTTAAGTGTTTTACAGTTTCTGCCAAAGAAGAAACACAGTCAGGAAACTGGTTTTGCCTGGAAGCTTCAGCCCTGACTTGTTTTCCCTATCACTTTCTCACTTGCCTTAGAATCATTTTAAGACTGTGATCCTTTGACTCCTAGTTCTGTAAACACAAGTTTGGCATTGAAATTTGGCCTTTATGAAAACAAGCAATTTCCATACTTAAAGTCAAGAAATAGTTTTTCAATAATTGTTACAATAATAAAAAACTCTCCTGTCCCATATTCATAAACAAAAGTTTGCATTTGCAAAGAAACAAAATGAAACTAATTTAAAAGTAAAGCTAGTAAGATTAGCCTGTTACCATCTTCCAGTTACTGGCAGGGGGGATGGAACAAACCTCAGAAATGACAAGAACTACATCAGCCTTGTAGTATTTTCTGCAGATAGTTTAAATCTTGCTTGAGTCTGCAGCTGTATTGTGTACATTGTTCTACCTTCATTATGTTAGAGTGGCCTGAAAGCCCAATCACCAGAAGAGGCTGAAAATAATGTCAGAGGTTAACATAGAGCAAGAACAACTTTGTGAGGCCCATTTTCCTTAGACATGCCTTTTTCTGTTGCTACCAAGTAACACCTAAACTGTTGGCAGAAAGAATCCCTTCATCAGTTCTGTGCCTCTTGAACATCTATCTTCTGTTGATGGACATACAAGGAAAAGGAAAAGATTTCTTTGAATGAGCTAAAATAGCTTCACTGCTAGATTAGACCTAGATCACTGATAGATTAGCAGCTTCACTGCTTGATACACCAGAGTGTCATACTGCCATTGAGAGGGACCTCGACAGGCTGGAGAAATGGGCTGACATGAACTTCATGAAGTTCAAAGTCCTGCCTCTGGGGAGGAACAACCCCTGGCACCAATATATGCTGGGGGCCACCCGGCTGGAAAGCAGCTTGGCAGAGAAGGACCTGGGGGTCCTGGTGGACACCAAATTGAGCACGAGCCAGCAACATCCCCTTGCCGCAATGAAGGCTAATGGTATCCTGGGCTGCATTAGGCAAAGCGTTGCCAGCAGGTCGAGGGAGGGCATCCTTCCCCTCTACTTGGCACAGGTGAGGCCACACCTGGAGTGCTGTGTCCAGTGCTGGGCTCCCCAGTACAAGAGAGACATGGACATACTGGAGAGAGTCCAACAAAGGGCCACGAAGATGATGAAGGGACTGGAAAATCTCTCCTGTGAGGAAAGACTGAGAGAGCTGGGACTGTTCAGCCTGGAGAAGAGAAGGCTCGGGGGGGATCTCATCAACGTGTATAACTACCTGAAGGGAGGGTACAAAGAAGATGGAGCCAGGCTCTTCCCAGTGGTGCCCAGTGACTGGACCAGAGGCAGTGGGCACAAACTGAAACACAGGAGGTTCTCTCAAACATCAGGAAACACTTTTTCACTCTGCGGGTGACTGAGCACTGGCACAGGTTGCCCAGGGAGGTTGTGGCGTCTCCATCCTTGGCGATATTCAAAAGCCACCTGGCCTCGGTCCTGGGCAGCTGGCTCCAGGTGTCCCTGCCTGAGCAGGCGGGTTGGACCAGATGACCTCCAGAGGTCCCTTCCAACCTCAGCCATTCTGTGATTCTGTGATTACACTTGAAATTTAGTGCAAAGAGCCTTACTGCACTGGAGAAGATGGTTTATAGTTTTATATGGCAGTGTTTTAAGTGATTCCTTTCAGTGTCTCTCCATCATATGCCAAATCTTTGGCTCATTTTTCTGACAGCCCTTGAGCAGCATGTGAGAAAGAAGTGTTAGGTTATTCATCACATCTGTCTTATTATTTATAGCTAATATTCAAATATGCAAAACATTTTAGATTCTGGATATTTCTTAAGCTCTAGGATCTACCATCTGCCGTCCAAATTTCTACAATCCAAACTGTTAGTCTTGGAATCAAAATAGTGTATAGTTAGAGAAAGTACTTTTTGTTAATGGCATAAGGACTAAATTAGCTTGGTTCTGACTAATGCAAGCCAGCAAATCATGCTAATGATGCTATACAAAGAGAGACTTTATAGCTTTTAGGTGGTAATATCGGAATCTTAAGTATGGAACTGCTTCATTTCATTTATTAAATGCATGCACAATAAATAAACCCTAGATATGGATTGCATTATTGTTACTCCATTTACACAAATTAATATTTTATCCCTAAAGTCCAGGGAACAATTTGCAGAGAAAGTGACTACCAGAGATAGATCAAGGATAGCATTATGTGGCCTTGCATTTGTAGGGAGTATAGTTTATTTGTAAACAGAGCTGCATGATATTTACCATTTTGATTTAGAAATGTAATACAATGCATACATTTTAAGTTTTATTTCATGCAATCCCTCTGTTCCCAAAAAACTGTAGTGGCTTTATTTTGTTTCCTGAACTGTTACACTCACAGCACAAGTAAGAAAAATTAGGGAAACAAATTTTTGCACGGAAAATGGTGCCCTTTTACTTGAAAAATTGGAAGTTGAAATGATGTTTGTCATGAAAAAGCCAGCTGGTGTGTATTCAAATTTGGGAAAAAAGATTCCAATGGCTAGTTTTTGTGCTAAGGAATATCTCATTGTCATTAACAATGCTTACTTATCTGCTTAAATGATTTTTACAAAATACTGAAAGCAAATTAAACTGCATAATCTTATTTGCAATGAAAAATATCACAATAGTTCAATGCATACTGCTTTTAGAACAACAATGACATAACCCAATAAAATTTTAAATTTTAACAAAAATGGCCACAACTCTTTCCAAGGTAGCTACTTCTTCTGATGTTAATATCACAATTAATTTTTAAGTTGTATACCCTTAAAACAGGGACTTTGCATTGGAAGTGCTGATACAATCACACAAGAAGTTACACTGCAATAAAACAGCTAGTATAAAATTCTGCATTCCAGTTGACGTAACATTCAGAGTGTGGACCTTCCGTCACATTAAAAATATGACAATTTCATTTGCTATAGCAAAAGCCAAGAAAAATGAAAGTGCAATATTACAAATCTCTGCATGTATATTGGACTCTTTGTAAAACCCTTTTGAGAAAAGAAGATCCTGAATGCTGTAATAATGGTAACTGTAGAAGACACTAATGCATCCAGAAGCTAAAATTAAATAGCCTTCCGTGTCACAATGAGTGCTACAAATGTTAGCCTCCTCCTGAGAATGAAGTGCACCAGGTCAAGACTTTTTATTACATCAGAAGCCTCATCTAGAGCTGCTTAAGGTCTTTTGGCTACAATTCAGACCCTTAAAAGACACGAAAACCAACCTGGTTGGTGTTTCTAAATAAATGTCAATAACAGAAGAAAAAAGTAGTGCTGAACTTACAGATTTTTGTCACAAAAAAGTACACAAGTAGAAAATGCCTCTACCATACAAATAATTACAATAATTGATGCATCTAATGAGCCAGGATCAGATGAAGGTATTAATTGCCATGACTTTTTGTTAAACTTCGATTGTTTAAAATATTTAATGTCAATAATAATAAATTATACTAAAATGAAAGCAATGCTAGCAGCTAATGGCCAATACTAGAAAACATGTTGATGGCTCATCACTCTAGACAATTAAAAAGTAGTGAATTTTATAACTCCATGGTATATCAGTCATTAACTGCAATTGTACATGACAATGTAAATCCTAACTATATTTCAAACTGAGTCATAGGAAGGTTGAGAGCACTGCAAAATTGGGAGTGCTCAGTCAGGGAAGGGGAGGGAGGAGGGCAGAAATAAAGTAAGAGAGCTTTGTAAGTAAGAGAGCTGTCTTGCCAGCTGTCTTGACAGCCAGAGGTTCTACCACATTTCAGGTTTTAAATTGTACCTTTGGCTGGATGATGAGGGTGTTTAGGAGTACAGAGAGAAGGAGTAAATTTGGAAATACAAAGAGCATACTCAGAGAGCATCACACAGCTCTACTTGAAAATGACTTCTTCCAGTTAATGACCAATTTTCCCCAGAATCAAAAGGCTTCCTATATTCTAACATTTGTCATGACTGTGTTGGTCTGAATAGAAACTTTAAGGAACCTGAATATTTCATCATTACTGTGGCAAGAAACACATTTTTTCTCCTAGTTTGGGTAATTCCCGTAGCACGTAATAGTCACTATGACTGCATCGTACTGTGAATTACAACTGCACTAATTTAACAGTATAGTTTCATATAATGTGGATATCTGATTTAAGAATCCACATTAATATTTCATGCATAACATAAGAGCAAGTGACTTTTTGTAGAATAAATGATTGTCTCCTGTAGCATTGTACATTTTCACAGAAATCACTAGCATTTTGATTAAGGACATATGCAATTTATTTCATTTTCCATACTCATAAGCAGGATGTTGATGACATTGTCGTTTTGACAAGAAGTGCTTACAAAGTGCTAGTATTATACCCTGGCATTTATTAGATATTAATTCCAAGGATATTTTTAAATATATACATACTGTTCTTTTTACTTTTAAAGTAATTTTATTACTAATCTCTGGTATTATAAAACTCTGTTTTTAACCACTGATAATTTCTAAATACAAAGCATGTGAAAAGTATGTTCAGTAATCTATAGCCTTTTAAATGAAAGGCATCAAAAATATTCCTTGTGGCAGAAAAGGTCCTATAACAGGTCTTTTAATAGCTGCTTAAATTTTGTCAATGTCAGCAAACAGACAAGGAGAAATCTGACAGGAAACTGAAAACAAGTTGGAAATATTTGTACATACCAAAATGCTATTCTTTTAACTTCGTAATTGTATGTTTTTACGAAAATTACTTCAATCCATCAAATTGTGTTGTTCCCACTACGCAGACGTGCCAGTTATTTGACCATTATATTCTGCTGTTTCCATTTTGAGAATGTAGGGGATTATGCTGTCAATGGGAACATTTCCAATGAGACCAGTAAAAAATAGTTCCTCGGTAATGCTAGAGCTCATCAGCCTAAGTGCTGGCAGGCGAACTAGAATCCGGGCTAGCCTGAAAAAGAAGTTCAGTGGATTATAAATACATATAATACCAATTTAAAATACTTTGTGGCTAAAGAGCTGGATCTGCTTTTATTATTACCGTAACTCATGAATGGGAGTAAAGAGGCAATTAAAGCTAATTGAGCTACCATGAAAAGAACGGTTACTTTTTTATCCTGCAAGTGAAATGAAAAGCCACCATCTTTCTTTGTGGTTTTCCAATGAAAAGGACATATTAATACCCTTTGTAGATACAATGTGTATGTACAAACACACAATTCTCCTGGTCTGCTTTTGAAGTTCCCAGCTCTGGAAGCACTTCATAGTTCAGGACAATGCTGAGACTAGTAATACTCATACTGACTAGTGAGAACATTTGCACAATTTTAAGAGTAAAACGCTTAATTAAAATTTAAACCATGAACAGCATAGTGCTCCGTTGCCTAGCAACTTAATGACAAACCAGATAGCAAGAATGGGACTGGATATGTATAAAAGGAAATAAGAGAATCTGCTTCTGATGAGAAAAGGAATTTGGAGGGATGTGCTGTTACTCATACATATTGCCAAATGCTGTGGTTTTGTAGGTACCAGGATGTTAACAGACATCCAATATAATGAAGTGATCATACTGAATTTCTGGACTTTCAATGCATTTGAAATTTAGGACAGTGATGAAAGCATATCTGCTGTGTTTATATGGCAGATGTACATCACAAATGCCAAAATAAATAAATTTCCTGAACCAGAGCCATGTAATAGCAAACCTTAGGCAGCACTGAACACAGACTTCTGGAAAATGCTTGAATATCTATGGAGAAAATATGTAAGGTCCATTCTGCTAATATACCATATCTTGTAAACTTTAGGGGAAAATTGCAAAAAGATCCAAGCTATGCTGCTGTTTTTGTGAAAATTATAACACTTGTGCTTCTATCTCAGTTTCTGCCAGCATTCAGTTGCTCAGAAATAATCAGATTTGTACTCTAAACTTACATATGGGTGAGCATAGGGATATAGACAATATCAGTTAAAATACAGGACATTGTTTGGGAAACGGAACTCTCCGATTTTCTTCCTTGAGCCACTATTAAGAGAAGTTAAGTATATGGAACAAATTCTGTATTTCTTTTTATGGCAGATATCCAGCTCTCACACATCAAACCAAAATAATTGAATTGTACACAGAAGAAGAATGTGGGATTCGAGGATGTTTCTGAAGTAGAGAATCCCATCTTCACTGCACCTAACTGGGAATCCTGATGCCCTTTCTGTTGCCCCACACAATGTTAACTCTGAAAGATCAGTGCAGAAACCAGTTTCTGAGATGGGGGAAACTCTCTTTTACAGGCTTTTTTCTTTTGGTGTTTTTTTTTGTTGTTGGTTTGGTTTGGTTTGTTTTTTTTAAAGTTTCACTACCCTCAGACCTTGCCTATATGTATGGGATTGCATGCTTCTTTACATGGGGATACCTTTCACAGTAAAGGAGAGTATGGTCTAGGATATATTGTTAGACAGACGTTAGAATTTCCCTTGTAGTGCAGAGAATCATTGTGTTGATGAAATTTAAAATAGTTTTGATGGAGATTATTAGAAAATAGGATAATTATTTCTAGCAAGTAAGAAACAGGAACAGTTGAGAGGTGAAAAAACAAGTTACTTTCAAAGAGAAGTCCTTGGAAATTAAAAAAAAAAAAGGAGAAAATAAGTAGGAGGAGGGAATTTCTTATAAACAGAAGCTTAAGAGTCGATTACTGTTCCCCACATGTAGTCCTTATTGTTCCAAGGTTCATAAACTGGCAGTTTTATATATTTTTCTGCATATGTAACTTGTCAAACATTTAAAGGATGGTAATCACCTTTTATTATCTCAAAGCCTCTTTGACAACTAACTTGAAAAAGGAAGCAATTTGAATTAAAGAAGTTTGAGGCAGTTGAGGCAGCTATTCTTGAGACTTCTAATAAAATAAGTCTGTTTACTTTTCTAAACATGGCAATGAGACTCAAAAAAAAAACAAAACAACTCCCCCCCCAAAAAAAGAAAGTACTCAAGTTCAATTTACGTGGAAGAAGCTAGAGAGCTATTCTTGCTTCTACCTATCTTTAAACAAACCTGCTTGCTTTTATGAACAAGTTATCTAGTTCTTTCTCATCCACAGTCAAAAAAGAACAGATGTCAAAAGGAAATTTTATATCAGTGATGTTATTTTGTACTTTTGCCAGCTACAGCCCACAACATTACTTTGGGTACTATAGACAATAAATACCTATAAGTATCTTCTGGATAGGTTTTTTGTACATAGTCCTGCAATTCCATCTGTGCCTTCTCCTGGAATTTTTCTATTTGGGTTGAACTGGTCAGACCAGGGTGATCTAAAGAAACAAAACATTTCTGTATGTCGATTGTTTCCCTATACATTGTGAAATATATGTAGTTATAAGATTCTTGCATTTAATTTCATTTAAATATTTATCTTGTATTGTGATGTTTAACATGTTAGCTGTATAAAGGAAACCACTCAATTGAACATTTGCTTCCTGGCTTCAGAATTAGCTTCCTCACTTTTCTCTCTATAGCTGTGTGTATCCACAAGAAAGTGGAAAAAGATTAAGCCTGTAGGTATGTACCAGGCAATGACACTCCTAGTTTATGTCTCTAACCTTGCTTTTTAAAATGTGTTTGCCTCTGTGATTTTGATTAACTATGCTGACTGAGCAGTATCTAGGGTTGTTTTCTTGCCAGATCAATTTCTTGACCTTCCCGAGTCTGTCTCATGTTTTAATTCCAGCTGGCTCAGCTCCTCAAAGTCAGTCACATGATCAGAAAAAAAACAGAAAATACCACCTATCTGACTATGCCCAAATATCTTCAGTGTTGTGTTCCAACTGCTCTTCCCTTGAAAAGGGACAGAGCTAGCTTGAGTTTGGAGAGTTTCTTGCTCCTCCAACTTGAATAAAAACCCTAATAAACCTAATCCTAATAATATAATCTGCAAAAAAAATTTCAAAAGCTAATTCAGGACACCAATATCTTCTAATTAAAGTAAGTTTTATCACAAAGAGAAAAAAAAGTATCAATGCAAAAAAAAAAAAAAAAACACCAACCCCAAAACCCCTGATAACAAGATACTCCTTGTATCTTGTTAAATTCGAAGTGGTAAACACCTTTGAATTAAAGTAAATAATTTACATTTCTGAGCAAGAGTTTCCCTTTCGTTCAGCCTATCAGCAGTTTTAAATTAACCTTTCTGTGTCCTAGGAACATTTCTCCACCTTTGCTGAAGAGACTGTCACTTCACATTTTTTTAATGTCCTTACCTTATCATTCCAGAAAATCTCAAGTGTCTTCTTTGAGTAAATCCTCATATCTCATAAACACTGTTGATCATGCTTTAGTTGTCTGCTATCATTTTTTTGTTAACAAATGGAAGACAGCCTGTTTACATTTAGTTTCGGAGATTTTGTGGAAGTTCCATATAAAATACAGTGGTATTTCTGCTCATATTTCAGCGATGCCTCTTATGAGTGTATTAAAAATATTAAAATTGAAGCCAATTTCTTTTTGTCACTGTAAGAATATATTTCCTCTAATACTTCCTGCCATTTACTTCACTAATATTGCTAGTACACATCCCAGACAACTTATTACTCATAGATTCTCAGCTGAAGATAATTGAGTCTAGAGTTCTAAGGTGGAGTGTACAGGAAACACTTGATACATTGGAACTGTAAATAACATGGATACATTGCTCCAAAGTTATTTTTAAAACACATATTATTTGTGATAAATCATTATGGAACAATCATTTTATCTGCAGCTTAACAGATCAGTCTCATCTCAAGACACTAGTCTAATTAAAAAAATTGCTAAAACATTAACATATTAATGCTTATTATTTAAAAAGTTATGGTTACTAAATTCCTTACCAGGGCTAAAGAGGACTATAGCTTTAAGGTATGCATATTCATATCCATCAATATCAAGTTTGGCCATGCTGTTACAGAACTCCTGAAGTTTCCAGATGTGTTCCATGACTTGCTTTATTCTGTCTCCAGAAAGTTTATCTACAAAAAGATATTGTTTGCTATTTCATGTGAGCTCAAGTATCTGATATAGTAACCAATATCCTTTTATAAAACAAGTGAAGTGACATTTTAAAGTCTTCTGTGTCATTTGCTATCTTAAAACCACTTAACATAAAGGATGGCCTGAATGATTATGGAAGTGAAAATTTATAAAGCTGAGTGAGACACAGGGCTAGCAAACAGAATGTTATCTCTTTTGCATAATTTTGCCAGTACAGCATAATCAGCAATACCAATCTTACTCCAGTGATGTACTGTTCTGAGCAGAGACTCTCAAATTATGGTGAATTATTCTACAAATGGCTAGACTGATTCCGGGAACAAACAGAAGCACAAAACAAATGCTATCATGCAATCCTAATTTTAAATTCGAACAGTATTGAGTTAGCTTTTCCAGAAGTGAATGCAAGAGCAGTAATGACAGTGCTATTTTTTCCTCTATCTGTACTTTTAGAAGCGAATTTTTCATTTACTGTCGTAAATAGTCTTTTTTCCTTCTGATGGCATAAATTCACTCACATACATGTACACAGATTCTTCCATCATTTGAAACATCACGTTCCTTATGTTGGCTTCGTATTCTTTCTTAAAATGTTGATCTTGTATTATTTGTGGATAAGTTACAATTGAGTGGTATTACCTGCTCAGCTAGGGAGGGAGAGATTTCTATTTTGGTAAATATACCTTCTCTCTGACTGCGTATCTGCAGACTAGTCAAAGAATGAAAACCTTAGAGATTACAATAAGACAAATCTTTGAATATGTAATTACTATTATCAAACTTCAGAGATAAGTCAATTCACAAGGGATAAAACTTTTTCTTGAGAAACACATTAGAATAATTTTATTCCAGTCATGATCTCTTAACATTTCATATCATTGTAACTTAAATATTTTACCTTTGTCTGTACAGCTAATAGTGTATATGATTGCTCAGACCCATGTGCCTTAAACTGAATCTTTGATGTAATTTATGATTATTTTACATATTTTCTGAAACTGCAATAAAAAGATTGAACAGAAGAAATATTTTTTGCACAATGTCTTGAAATAAGAATGAAAGCATAATCTACATTTCTGAAGCACATGAATTGTGATATGAGTTTTTAGTCACGATGGATCAAGATAGACATAATGTAATGTTTTTATTTGTATATTAAGTGGGAAATGGTGCAGAAATAGTCAGGGAAAGTGAACTTGAATTCCAGAGTTTCCAAATAGCCTCATCACTAATACGCTTCCTAGATAAAGTTCTGGAAGTTCTTCACTTTGTTTTGAATTTTAAAGTTATAATACACAATATAATATGATAACTTTGCAGAATAGATAAATAAAACAAATCATCAACAAACCATAATAAAACAAATCATCCTCTTTTCTTGGCCAGTCTCAGGTAACATGGTATGACTGGAAGTACAGGTTGTAGAACAAATTTATTTTTTTCTTTTTTGAGACATGGGAACAGAAGTGGAGCCAGCTTAAGGCTGTAATAGCCCCACCACTTACTCCTCCACAAACTCATTGCCTGGGGTGTAGATGGAATAGAGAGCTGTGTTTATTCTGACAGAGATATAATTAAAAGCCTAACTCTGTGCAGAACATATAATGTGCACATTTCCTTGTTGGTCTTTTAAACTCTCGCCTCTCTCTCTCTGCAGGAAAGGCACATTAGTTTGTTGTATTTTGAGGGCTGTCCAGGCTTTCTTAAATTACAAGAAAAAAAGAAAAAAAACCCAACCCTATATTCATTATGAAAGCATACTATCCATTTAAGAATCAAATTTCTGTGTAATTTACTTTATGATAATGAAGCTAATAAAGTAGAATAAAACAAAAGTACTTTACTAGGACTGAAGGTTATTACACATTTTTTCCAGATTATCTACTTTTGTACATTTTATAGTTCTACAATCAACTCTTACTCTCCTCAGTAAAAGCCTGTTTTCCAATTTTTGCCGTGTGCACAATAATGGCACCACAAAAATCATCAAACAAATTGGTACCAAATAGTATTCTGTAACTACTTTTAACTCACATTTAAATTTAAGTTAGCTTTCATGTAATGTGCTGTGTTTGCAGAGTTTAAAGCTGCTAGTATTGTTTTTTTCCTCCTATTAAAAATGGAATGTTATTCTCACGCTAATCAATCATATTGATTGGGAGCATCCTGAAAGAAAAGAATGAAAAAAAGGCATCCATAACAGATTATCATCCATTCTAGATATAGTCACCATTATCAACAGGCCAACACTGAATTAAAAAATAAAATTACATAAATCTTCGTAAGAGTGTCAAGAAAATAGGTTGTTTAATGCTTCAGAGGGTACTTCAAAATACATTAATCATTACTGCATTACAGGAGTATCCAAAACCATTATACTTGCAAGAATATTCTTGTTGTGATACTTGGCAAATGCTATAGTTTTACACTGCAAAGAGGAGAAGGAAAGTTCTGGAAGGAAAAAATTCTGGTGTGGTTTGGAAGAAGACATCATTATTCTAAGAGGGGAAAAAAAAAAAATTACATCTGGATGGGAGGAAAGCTCTGTGAGCACACCCAACTTTAGGATGTACTTGTCTTTCTCTATACTGCCAGTCAGATGTAGAAGACAGGAGAATACGTCCTCCAGCCTTATCCCCATTTCTTCTATGGACACTTCTATCCCACAGAGATCTCTGTGAGGTCAGTGCAACAAAAGTTGTAGATCACCAGAGGAAAGGTAATTATGCAAGAGAAGGCTTCTCCTTCCCCTGGATCCTGGGGAACAATTCTGCCACCGATTAGGAAACACCTCATGAGAAATGTTATACAGATGTCCCTGTAGTGTTGGCAGGACTGAACACGTATAAGAATCACACACTGAAAACATACCTTCCTGTATGCTGTTCTGGAGATGGTTGACAATAGCTGCTAGGATAGTAGACAGACTCATCACCTGTGCACACTGTGCCAGGCCTAAGGTAAACAGCTCGTTCCAGCAGGCACGCACAAGGCTTGTATTACAGTCCTGCCTATAAACAACATAAAATCAAACAACTGTATGTAGTTTTCCTATCAGGCTGGTATTACCCTATGTGTAATTATGTTATTTATAACAATTAATAATAAGGATTAACGTATTGCAAACCACTTTACTAAAAGGCATATATTAGCACATTACAAGTATTTCAAAAAGCAAAAAGAAGTGATAGGCCAGCTACAGGAAACCATTTCAGGTTATCTGTAAAATAGTGCTCACCAGTTCTTTACCAAGATATATTTCTACAAATTAAATGCTTCCTTTTGACTCGGCTTTAGCTTCTGTAACCGCAGTAATATCAGATATTGTAGTTATCCCTTCCTCCGCCATCTTCTATTTTTTTTCTTCAAAAAGGATAATATTGCATAGTCTTCACGCATTTTAAAGAATTCATTAAAAATTAAACAATATCACCATTTAAAAATTCAAAATAGCTGGAAAGTGTTCAGTGCTTAAATTCATTAGAAAGCAAACTGTTCAACAGAGTAAGTCCATTTACCCCAGAGCTTGAAATGCAGGTATGGACCTAGCCCAGTGCATAGAGAGGAAAAGTAGTCGTGATGCTGACTCACAGATGTAGTGTACATTAAGGTACTCTGGCATTGGACTGGGCATTGTCAGCTGCAAAAAAAAAAGTACAGTACAATAGATATAGTTCAGACATAAAACAATTTTTATTATTGATGAAATAACCAGCGAAAACTTTCAAACTACTTTCATAGTCTGTCATAAGGAACTGTGTGACAAGAAATTATCAAAGGAAAACTGTATTAAATAACTTATTACTACTGTCTGGGAATGCAAAATGGGAATAGGAGACAAGAAATTATGTGGGAGAGAGCCGAAATGCTTCCTTTTAAAATGTTTTCATATTCATTTAATAATAATTAAAAATTTCATTGCTCTGTGGAGTGTTGGCTAGCATCACAGTGCTATAAAAGATCTTTTAAAACTTCTTAAAAAGAAGCAAAATAAAATCTAAATATCTAAAATGGGAAAGTCATGTAATAGGAATCTACAATCACAAAACACCATTAATGGGAATAAGCAGGTTATGAAAAAAGTTTGACTACATTAAGTATTACTTATTTCAGTAATGATCTTTGTATTTCTTGAAACTACGATTTGATTACAGCAAGATGAACACCCTTACTGTTTCTTGCACACTGTTTATCAACATGTGTGTTTTGTATTCAGTTGAAGCTGAAGCATCTTTAAAATGTAAGACCTTTTTCAGTGGTCTAACCATAAGCATCTAAGAAGGCACTGTAACCTCTCTTTATATGAAGGAGCCTTTTAGATTAAAGTTTTACACTGTCTAGAATTATAAATGAATTAAGCAAGACATCATACTATATGGATGATATGGAAAGTGATTATCAGCAGCACTGCAAAGTGAAATAAATTTTAAAGCACCCTTCTGTCCATGAAAAGGTCTTACGAAATAACACCTGTACTCTTTAGATACAGCATGCAAGAGTGAAAATTGTGTTAGAAGCTTTGTAATAGCAGATGTTATCCCAGATTATATTGCCAAAATTAAATATAAGAATAAAGAAAACATAGTAAACTAATTTTGGGTTATGTCTTAAGTGTTACTTTGTTTAGTAAGACAATTTAAAGAAGCACATACCTTAAATGTGACATGTGTATCTGTAAGTAGGGGTCCTTCCACTTCAATAATTGGTGTTGACTGATCTCTACTGATTACATGAATATTCCCTCCTCCTGTAGGATCCATCCCATCTGCCAAGTTATGAGCTGCTGTACCATCTGTGGTATTAAGTGCTTTAGCCAAAGTATCAAATGCCCTGAAAAAAAAAGTAATAAACAATGAAAGAGTGCTTTCTTACACCTTAAAAAATTCATAGTGGTCAAATTAAATGCTATAAAGCATTTCCACTTAGAGGTAACATATATAGGAACTGTTTATGCTAAGACACAAGGTCAGACTTTTAATTATGTTACAATGTGGCCCCTCTGTACTGTTCGGACATTAATAAAAGGAATAGATCTGCCCATATATCGCTGGTAAAAGATCTCCTCTGTAACGGGGGAACTTTTTACTACTGTAAATCCTGCTCTAATGGTTTTATGCTAGTATTTGTACTAGTAAAGGGGTCTCTTGTGCTTACCACTCACTATCTCCTCCTTTTCACCTTGGAATGTTTAACAGATTACGTGAGGATTATAGACCAGATGCACTGTGGAGAACACCCTGCAGTCCCTGTCCTTGATGTCCAATTTCTTACAACAGTGGAGAATAGTGTGATTCTCTTCTAGACAACATGCCTGAATTTCCTTTCCCTTTAGATGAGCTATGGCCAGACACTCCTGATCTCACAGTATAGACAGAGCCTTAGAAACCTTATGACAGCAACATAAGAGGGCCTGGACTCCTTTATACTCAAGCTGTAGCTGGGCCATTGCCGAAATAAGGCAGTGTAAATTCCCTTCTTATGATAGAGCTTAGATTTAAAGAAGAATTTTGTGCTCCGATTTCATACCAGCGGACAGTATTACGGTATAGTGCTGTTTTGCCAGTATTTTTGTGAAGAAGTTTTGGGGGGAGGTTTTTTGGATTTTTTTTCCTGCTTTAGAGTACAAGGTTGACATAAGTCGAAGTTGCAGTGTCAAGTATTTTTAAGTATCAGTTCACTCACTTGAAGAGTTTAAATAAGACTTTAAGAGTCTGAAGTTAAGCTCCTCTTAAAAATCTTCTACTTGAGAAACAATGGACAGTTTTGAGGCCAAGTATTTTTCTTATTTCACTATATTGCCAATTTATGTTGTCCTTCACCCCACCCACCCCCCAAAAAAAACCCCAAACAAAAACCCCACCAAAAACCCCAACCATAAAAATCTCAAGCTCTGCTGGAAATTTTAAGATTCCATGTTCCTTTTTCCCATTTTTCTCATTAATAAAGACAACAAAGACTTCAAACTCTTTCTACACATTAAAAAAAAAAAAAGTTTGTTGATCTTAGTTTAACTACATTTTCCCTACGTTACCGGCAGGTACTATGGCAGCACAATCTCAAAAAAAAATCTGCAGTAATACAGACCCCTAAAGAACATCGTGCAGGAGAAGCTTCCATATAACAAGCCTATCAAATAAAACAGTACCAAAGTGTTGCTATTCTCAGAGTCTCTTAAGGTCACAAACTAGTCATTTATTATTTTTCTGAGTATGAAATCTGGTCTAGTTTCAGAACACTACATTTGTAACACAGGACACAGTTCTTCACAAGAGGACAACAGCCAAACCTGGATTTCTAAAGAATTGTTTTTGTGTTTCAAAGCAGGGGGCAACCTGTACTGTGTTTGGTGTCACAATGCCAAATTACTTCAATAAGTAAGTGAAAATATACACCGTACAGAATACAAATTGCTAAATAAGATGCAAATATAAATGCATACCGTGTAATCTCACTTGCAGATTGCTCTTCTTGTTGAACTTCAGAAGTATCTCCATTATTTAGTGACTCACTGAGATTAGCAAGGGATGTTACAACATTTGCTAGTGTTCCTAAAGCACCCTGGCTTGTTTCAGCCTAAAAAGGAAGAACCGTATTAGTAGATCAAAATTATAGGTGATGTATCATACATAAATTTTTCCCATTTTTAATCTTTGTGTTCTTTTTCCCTTAATGTAACTTTTCCTTCCTCCTGAACACCTACAGGAAAAACAGTGGCTCACAATGATCTTTAAATCCTCTTGTAATCATCAATCCTAGCCCCAGCTGACATACCATGTGGGGAACTACCTGTGGCTGACCTTTTGCAGAAATACGTCCATGAAAAGAAATCATGTTCCTGTTGATCAGCTTATTACCTCCATTCGTACAGATCTTCAGACTTACCCCAACCTTATCTTCTCAAGAGCAAGAATTATTTGTGTCTATGTACATAGCTAAAATAATCTGAACAAATAAATATATATGTTCAAAACTTAATTGAAAGAATAATACCTTGGAGTCAGCAGCTAGGAGGACTGTACCATCATCCCTGATCAAAGGCTGCTGAATATTCACAAGCATTCCCGGATCAAGAAGACCTGCTGACCTGTTCAAAAGCATAAGGCATCTGACAGTCAATAGTATTTTACATTAATCAGAAGAATGTGTAACAACTTATGTCAGAATAGAAGGGATTACCAATTTTTAAATTAACGATTTAATGAAGCTCAGAGTTTATTCATCAGGACTTAAGTCTTTCTGAAACAGTTTCCAAAAAGTAGCTTGAAAGACAGAAAGACTGGAATGTTTTCCTTTCCTGTGCAAAAGCAATGACAACTTCCCAGACAGATATCCTCTCATTTCCTTTTTATGCTGGTTTATTCTGTCTTAAGGAAAGTTGTTGTCTTCTCATGCTTTCAGAAGTCACTTAATAGCTCTAGAGTTATGCATTAGACTTTGGAGGAAGGCATAACTGTGCATTCCAAGTTAGACATTGGACAGCACTGAAGAAAAAAAGTTATGTCAAGAAAATATATTTTACATTCCAAAATATAGCCATAAACAGTCATGTAATCAAGGTCTGCATAAAATCTCTGCTGCCTTTACTTCTGCTACTTTTTGACCAAACATTCTTTCCCTTTGCTGTATCTAATTTAGGGAGACAGTGGGAAGTCTTTGCAGTTAGCAAGGATAAGTTTATTTCTTACTTATTTAACACTCCAGTCTGCATAACCCAATACAAATGCATGCACGACAGGTTCAGGCTGCAGGGAATTTATAGTTTAAGGGGTCTGAGACTAACAACTAACATTGTGAACCACCACAGGCAGCAAATTATCATGTGTTATGCAAATCCGAATCCTACATAAATAATAGAAAGTCACACTTAATGACTATAATATTGTTTATAGGACTGTAAGGGATCTGTAGCACAAGGAAATCTCAAAGAAGCAAATGTATCTGTGAGCAGTACTTTTGAACAATCTGACTTGCAAACAAGAACACTGAAAAACAATTCTCCAAAAAATTTGCAGCCCAATCTTCCTAACTGCGGAGTCACTTGTTCAACAAAGAATATATATTAAATAAATAAAACCTGAATATTGAGATCCAGTATCTTTAGGTGGTTATTATCCATTCATAAACTAACCGGACCTACAGTTTTAAAAATGTGGTATTTAACCTAGAGTTCTTTTTTATTCTACTCAGAAAAAGACAAATCTTGCCTCTATTTATTATGATACGCATTTCCACACCCACTGCCTATGGAGACAGCTGAGAGCATGGGAACCATCTCAGAATATCTTCCATATAGTAAAAGGAAGCTGCTGTTGTTTTGCTGTTGTTGAAACCAGTCTCTTGGGATCTGAATCAGCAGTCACTGCAGTCTCTTTTACTACCGTCTTTAGGAGAAGGAAGACCAAGTCTGCCATTTGCAGATTTGATTTCAGAAAAGTGCTAACCTGACTGCATCATGGCATAAGCCTACATGCTTTTTGCTTGAATATCACATATTTGCCTTGCCTATGCTTTGACCTGGCTGGACAAGAGGCAGCTCTGAACTGAAAACCACCCAGCTGTACTCAGACATAAAAACCTTCATGAGAAGCAGAACAATCTAGGTTGGTCTTGGTAATGGAAACAGATGATTCATGAATTGGAGCTCTTTTCTGTCCAATTCTTTACAGCAGAGGGGAAAAAAGAATATAGGTGTGCCTCCAAAGTAATACGCACAAATAACCTTAAACAAGACCGTTAAACTGAGCTACTCACCGTGTCCCATCTTTATCTGCCACAAATGTTGGAGTTGCTATTAGAGGGCTTCGTAGATCTTTTCTGATATAGATTTTTTCAGTGGAAGCTGCACAGTTGGTCGGTTTTTCACGTTGCACATCAAAAGGCTTTCTTTCACTTTGAACCGCTACATAAAGATAGAAACATGCAGATTTGAAAGGAAATAATTCAACTGAAAAAGACAAAAAGAAAGTAAAATTCTCACAGTAGGATTTCAGTCTGCACAGTTATGATGGTGTATCAGCTCAGTGCAAAACTGGAAATTTAATATGAAGACTGAAGAAACACAGGCTCCAATTTTACTACACCTGTGATTATGTACATTTTTAACTAAGAAAGTCACAGGTTGATCATTTGCTTTAAGTTTTGCTGAACTGGAATCAAAGCTTGCTATTTCACTGGCATTTAATAAGATGGAACATTCTGCAAAATGTGTTTTCAAATTGTTTATTTATTTTTTACAGGTAAAGCTATACCTAAATGTTAGATGCAGTCATACTCTGGATGAGTCAAAACAGTGCAAACCCAGAACAAACCCAGAAAAAGTCAAGATAGGCAAGTTACGCGAGAGATGCATGTTAATTCCCTGGGAGACAAGTCTGCATGATATGCAATTCACTCACATCCATTCATTCCACCCAGTTAGGGAACAGTGTTCCAAAACTAACCTTTTCAAATTTAAAATATTTCTACTTGGTAACCGGAAGAACATAAGCTCAGTCTCCAACGTGCCAAACAAGTGTGGTAAATCTTTTAATAAAAATAGTAAGACACAGTAACTTTGTAATTTTAAAGGAAGTGAAAAGTGCATCTTTATAATATTAAGATATTATTATTAAACAGATTACAGAAAGTTATCTGGAATCTAAGTCACTAAACTTTACAAACTCCTCTATAGCTTGGCATAACATTTGACTGCATCGATTTTTCACTTGAAAATGAGGAATAATAAAATGAATAAAGGACTATGAGGATAATATAAAGAATTTTTAAAAGTGTTGTACTAATATTAATTCTCACACACTTTGCAAATGTAAGCCATAACATAAATGGAGACAATATTTCTGTGCTATTCATTTTACCAATTAATCATATAGCAGTTATTGCTCTAGAAGATTAACATTACTAACAAGCAAACAAAAAAATTCAACCCTCCTCTATAGCCCTTTTGAATGTAACAGTAAAATACATGGATACGTCTCTCTCTATCCTCATAATCAGCAAGAGTTACTTAGTTCCCGATTTTATTTTTGCTAATATTGTTACTGTCAGCAAAATTTAGCTTAAAAGTAGGTATATCCATTTTGTTGGCTTGGTGGATACATAAATATTAACCAGAAACCTGACCCAATGCCCAGTAAAGTCAGTGAGCATACATCCTAATCATATTTGGATAAGAAAGGTTTAGCTTCTGGAAATGAAGCAGTTTCTCTTGTACAAATGTGTCCCCCTATACTCAGCACAGCATGTGCAAAGCACAACAATCATCACTACAGGTCTGGAGTTCCAGAGTGCAAATACAACAAATTTACAGCTTAAAGTTCTGCCTCCCTTGAACTCAGTGGTTGGAACTTATCCTGCCTAGATCAGAGTGGAAAAAGAGAAGTATTTGTTGCTTCACCTTAAATTCTCCATAAATTTATCACAAAACAACTAGATAATAGGCTTCACGAAGTGCTGGACTGAAGGAGCAGAGGTGCTATAAATTGGAAACAAAATACATTGAAAGAGGTGTTTGGATGCTAGCACTGGAATTGTACGAAGCACTGCATACAAACATGAAAGTATATTGTTTAAAATATGACAGTTTATACAATGCCTTATAATACAACGCTCACAAATGACGAAATTAATATAAAAATTAAAAAAGAAAAAAAAACCCTGACATCAACTACTTTCTATCACTGAATGAAAAAGCAGCAAAAATAAACCAGAAGGAAAGCAGATTCTGAACATTAGACTCAGATTTATGTCCATCCATGTTAAAATATTTTGTTTTATAAACATACACTGTGTTTGTAACATGCATTCTAAGTGAGGCTCTAACTGGGCTCCTCAAAGACTACAGTAGTATGAGACATGATTCAAAACAAATCACTACTGCACCTCAGACATAAAATGGTGATGGAAGAAAGGCATGGTAGATGCTTTGGCTGCCGAAAGTTCTGTTTCCTTCAAGCAACATACACCAAAATGGAGAGAACACACTAAAAAGTGGTAGTCCACATATTTATTATTTGGTAGGCACAGTATCACATTGGGTACTTAACACTCACATTCCATTTTCATGCCCATCTCTAGACATTTCTTAAGCCTACAAAACTGGCAGCGATTCCGATGGTGTTTATTGATGATACAGTCCTGGTTGCTACGACAACTGTAGGTCAAATTCTTCCTCACACTCCTTTTAAAGAAACCTTTGCATCCCTCACAACTGACAGCACCATAATGACGACCTAGGAAACATATATATTGTTATCAGATGGAAATTACTTGTATTTTAGCATAAAAACATTTATCTTAAGCAAGTAAAACATTGTAAAAGTCACCCTTTAAATTTATTTTGTATTCTTACCATCATTTTGGACCACGAAAGCATTGTTAAAGTCTTACAGGATGTTTCTTGTTTACCTAGTGTCAGGGCTTTTTGGTGGGAGAGTGGAGAGAAGAGAGGAAGGCTAAGCCTATTTCTGAATGAGAGACCTGTGAAGTGGTAGTTCCCACTCAGGACAAGTACAGATGCAATTCTATCTGCTATTACAGATTATAGGATACATTAAAAGAATATATAGGCTAAAAGTTTAAGTAATTTCAGAATATAAGTAAGATTGCATTTCAAATTTTGTTGTAAAATTAATTTAAAATTCCTATACATATAAATTCTGGTATTGTTTTAATTACATAAACACTTAAAAAAATAAAAGAAAGCAAGACAGAGAGACAGAAAGGTGTCTTCTCTGTAGCATGAAAGCACAGTCCACTTCCTTGGCTAATGTAGAAATTTTACCTCATAGACTCCTTTTTATTGCATGGATCTGAAACACTGAGGATTCACTTGATCTCTACTTGCCTTTTCTGTGATAGAAGATGATCAAAATCCACCGGGAAGTCTTAAGTTTGTTAGAGAGCACTAAGAAGTGTTTTCCTGGAGCAGGTAGACTTTTCTAGGTGACCTGTTTATTGCATGGTTGCCCATAGCTGTAGGGAACCGGACTAAATGCTTCAAATAGTCTGTTTCAGTTACCAGGAGCCATTCAATCATTATTTTGTCTTTCAGCACATGCCGATTTATTATACACTCCAGTTGAAGTACAAACTAATATTCTTCCAAGGAGAGTTTAACTATTCTGTGTGTATAGATACAAAGCATAATGTTATCTATTTCCATTTTAGACTCAATTGCTTTTGCCACCAGCATGGCTAAAATCAGTTGAAATACATGAAACCTCCTCCCTTCATCCCAGTCATCCTTTCAATCAAGTTTCTTGAATACTACTTTCTATGCTTCCTTACCTGATGCTTTATCACCACAGACTACGCAATATTCTACTACCTGGGGCCGCTGAACATCAGCTTTTCCCAGCAAACGTTCCACCGAAGCAGAGTCTGTCACTATCTAAAACAAAATTCCAGAACAAAAAGAGGTAATTAGCCAATATTTTCTTCTGACATGAAAGTAAGGAGTTTTGCCTACAGAACAAGATTGGTGTATCAACTGGGAAGAGGTGGCTGAATTTGAGAATAAGTATGATATGTGGAATGAAATTAAGTAGTATAAAATGCAAGTTAATGAGAGTTTTTTTACTGTCAATAGTGAGACTATTGAAACAGTCATAGCAAAACAAATTCCAAATAAAACTCCTAGCTTTGTTCAGTACAAATAAGTTTCCTCACTTGTGCAGTCAACAGTATTCTTCCCTTCTTGCAATTACTCTCAAACAGCTGCTATATTTTGGCCAAAGATGGTTGTATTTCAGGTGCTGTTCCCATCTATCCCTCCTCTAGCTATTAGGGGTATATGGTTCAGAGAGGATAGCCTGAAGCTGAGATCCGTTATAGAAATAGTTTAGCTTCCAAAGGCCTTGGATTCCAAAACTTCTGTTCAGAATATTCCACTTAACACAGAAAAATTAAAAAAAAGCCCACCCCTCTGTAACATCAGATAACCCATTTAGCATAGTAAAATAAATTTAAAAAGACTGAAAATATGATTTTTTAAATATTTATGTAAGAATGATAGTTCTCCCTGTAAAATACTCTCTATTGTAACAGTAGCAATAAGGACCAGGCGCCTTGGTGTTTTTTGGGTTTTTTTAAGGATGCTAGGAAGAAATCTCAAATTTCACTAGAGATAGATAATTGTTTGTATAATTTGTTTTGCAAAGCTCCCATTGGTCTGGATTATGCTCAAGACCCACAAACAACTGTAACAGAGGACAGCTTCTGCTCCAAAGAGCTTTTACTGCAATGTCTCGATACTGCATTGTGAACATAAGTTTGCTCAGGTGAGTTGTACCTCTGTATATCTGTGAATCTTGAACAGACCATCCGTGGCACTCCTCACAAGCACCATCTTAAGTATTCGCTTATATCTTTGGAATTTTAATGAGAACACACAACAAGGGGTGATGAGTGCAATGGAATGCATGAGGAACGTGAAGACAGGAGGATTTATGATTGAATAACGAAGGCTACAATTAGTATGGTCTAATCCATGTTATTAGATCTTTAGAAAACGATTGCAATTTGTCTTAAAGCAATTATAGACTTAAATAATCTGAAAATCAAAGACTGAAAAACAAAGATCTATGGTCTATCTCAATTACTGTATTTACCTGAATTCTGCCTGGCACAATGTTGTCTGTGGTGGTAAAGATAAGCTGTTTGGCATTAGATGTCTCAGGCGCTGCCAATATCACCTTTCCTGTACCAGTTCCATCTGGACTGGCTAAAATAAACTGTTGCTTTGGAGACACAGCTGAGTCCACCGCTGTCACTATTTGGATTTTTTGACCTGTTTGCTGATCTGTCACAATCTGTAAAACACATTGAAGAATTTTATGAGCCACAGTAAACTTCGTGTTTTAAAACCTTTCATTCTGCCTCAGAATTCTATGATACTCTCTGATAATTATCCTTGTTATTTTTTATTTTGCTATTTGTACATTTATTACACTTGTGCAAAGTTATTGCACTTACCTACCTAAGTGCGAAACAATAAAATCAAACCAAATATATATATATAATATATATGTATCCGCATACCTACTGCATAGATGGAAAATACTAGACAGAGTTGTGACAAGTGCGAGTCTGACATTGTTAATAATGAAGAGATATGGGGAGATCTTGTAATCACATTTAACTGTTCAAAAGGAGTTAGATATAGTGGATCCCAGACAGAGTAAGAACAAAATGTAACGTTAAGGACTGCAGCTGATGAATGGCATGTATATATGAAGGGTATACTCTGCCTAGTAAGACAGCATCACAGAAATTTAATAGAATCATAGAATATCTTGAGTTGGAAGGGACCCATAAGGATCATCAAGTCCAACTCCCTGCTCCTCGCAGGACTACCTAACACTAAACCGTATGACTAAAAGCATCGTCCAGACACTCCTTGAACTCTGATGGGCTTGGTGCCATGACCACTTCCCTGGGGAGCCTGTTCCAGTGACCGACCACCCTCTCAGTGGAGAGCCTTTTCCTAATGTCCAACCTGAACTTCCCCTGATGCAGCTTCATTCCATTTCCTTGTGTCCTGTCGCTGGTCACCAGAGAGAGGAGATCAGCACCTCCCCCTCTGCTGCCCCCCTTGAGGAAGTTGTAGACTGCAATGAGGTCACCCCTCAGCCTTCTCTTCTCCAAGTTGAACAAACCAAGTGACCTCAGCCGCTCCTTTTAAGTCTTGCCCTCGAGACCCTTCATCATCTTGGTCACCCTCCACCGGACACACTCTCATAGTTTGATGTCCTTCTTATATCAAGGCACCCAAAACTGCACACACGACTCGAGGTGGGGCCGCACCAGTGCAGTGTAGAGTGGGACAATCACCTCCCTCAACCAGCTAGCGATGCTGTGCTTGATGCACCCCAGCACATGGTTGGCTCTTTTGGCTGCCAGGGCACACTGTTGACTCATATTCAACTTGCCATCAACCCAAACCCCCAGATCTCTTTCCATGGGGCTGCTCCCCAGCCTCTCCTCACCCTATTTGTACGTATAACCAGGATTACCCTGTCCCAGGTGCAGAATCCAGCACTTGCTCTTATTAAATTTCACATGGTTGGCGATTGCCCAGCTCTCTAGCCTATGCAGATCTGCTACTCCTAATCATCGGCAAACTTACTTCATGTACATTCGACTCCTACCTCCTACCTATTTATAAAAACATTAAAGAGCACTGGCCCTAAAATTGAGAGATCATTTATAAAAACATTAAATTAAAAATTACTCCAGCTGACAAAAAAAGCATAGTGGTACATTCTTGAGTTTTGTATTCATTTTGTATACACCTGACTATGAAAGCTATTTTGATATAATTCATTTACGTATTTGGCTTAATGTCAGAGTTAAAACTACTACTGAAAATAAAATGCTAATTTACACACACTGATACTCCTATTAAATTGACTGTATTAGGTGTCACAATAACAGGGTATTTATTTCCCTAATTTTGATTACCTAGACTTTTTATCTAGTTGTCATGTCCTTTTTGTGTAACATGTCTTACAGAAAGTAAGACATATGCTAATAGTTTAATAGTAAGACTATGCTGATAGTTTTACTAAGCTAGAATGCCTTAAAAAGGCATTAGAACTACCCAAAGCAGGAGCTGAATTACAGAGCTGATGATTTTTCTAGATTACAGAAACTCTTCAGGAAAGATTAATCTTACATTTTGTGATTACAAACCTAAAGAAACTTACACAAAGGAAATGGTACTCAAAGCTGGGGATGAAGCCAGCCTACTATTGAATTTTGGACAAGACAGAGCTTTTCAGGGACTCTTTAGATTCTTATATTTACAGAATAGAATAAGCCATTTTAGGTCTCATATGCATAAACGTTTCAGTGCATAAGTGTATGGACTCTACAAACATAAAGCTCCAAAGAAGCTCAACGGTTAAAAGACAATCATTACCCTTTAGTCCCATTGTTGTAAAACTGTTAAGTTGTTAAGCTCCCCAGAGTTTTCCCTGCCGAGATTTTTTCAGCCTCCATCATTTTCATATAGATCTTAACTACAGGACAATTCACAGTGAAATCTAATCTTGGATTATGACTGACACCACTACGATATTGCCTGTATTTGTTTTGAGGAAGCAGGAATACTCTTTTCTCATCCTAGTATTCTCCTTCATCATGGAGTTGTAGGTTTTTTTCAGAAATAGCAGTGATATAAGGAGGTAGATTATTTTGCAGAACTGAACAAAAGTTACAGTGTAAATACCTACCTTATGAATGCTGAATATTCAGTATGCTTCAGTTATACATGTTATGAGAACATCTACCTTGCAATGAAATATTTATACATATTGATATGGTTACTCTACCAGGCAAAATAAGAGATTGTGTTACCAGACAACTGTATCAAAAATAGAAACCTTCCCTCATAACAGAATCTTGAGAATCAGCATGTGAAACAATAAGGCTGCCTGATTCCACCTTTTGTTGATAACTTCAAGGAATAACATCTTAGATAAAATACATAGCTAAATGTTGTTGATAACTGAAGAACATCTCCTTGGTGCTGTCTATAAAGAAAAATCATAGAGACTTCTTTGTAATTTTTCATGGATCAGATATAAGTACTGATGATAGTATGTAACGGAGACAAAAAAATTAGGCTGGATAAAAAGGGAATGATATTCACTTATGAACTTCACAAGAAGTTCATAAGAAAAACTAATGATGTACACCATTATACATGCTGCAATTTGAATCTTTGAAAATAACATTACAGAAAAAATTGTATCATGTACAGGAAGTATAACGACAATGTCAAAATCATTTAAAACGTGTTTTCAGGGCTGTTCATAGGGGCAGTACCCACCCACCCTGACCAAGACATATCCCAAGAAGAGCCCATCCTGTGATGGAGGCTGCGTTGCCAGGACTGTTCCAAATGCCCTGGAGTACCAGGATCCTCTTTTCCAGCACCACCTCTGGCAGAAGCACATGGGAGTATTGTACTGGCACAGAACAAGGTCAAGGAGGGCAAAAGCTCAGTATTGCAGTACTGCAACACTCCAATAACATTAATACATAACAATTCTTGTATCATTTCTCACTGCATACATTCTGATATGTTAATGGTATCTTTATATTATCTATCAGTAACAATGACCCACTGTGCAGCATTCCCAAAGGCTAACTTTACCCTAAATAGGCTAGTCTCCCACTGGCTCCTAAATATGGCGGGGGGAGAGGGGGGGTGGGGGAATGCCCTTGGAGATGACCATCTTCGGTGTTCTGTTGACAATGTCTGCCCATTTGCTATGGCTAGAGCTCAGGAGACTTGTATACATAGGCTAAATTTAACCTCTGCAAATATTCCTGACTACATCATCAATACAATTATTATATACAGCCAACTAGTCATCACCAAATACATGCTGAGGGAGAAAAAGAGTTTTAGTCGGCACTAAAAATGATCTGTTCTCACAAAATTTAAAGGAAGTCTTCCATAGACTTTAGCATGTTTTTGTATAAACCTAAGTGGGAGGAGGAGGAGAAGAAAAAGAAGATGCAATAGTTCGTTACTTAATCAATGGACTTTTACCTGAATGCGTTGTGGTGAAGCTACAGAGGAGTCTGTGGAAATTATCTGGATACGTTGGGAAGGGCTGGTCATCACTGGAGATTCAGATAGTGAAGTCTGAACAGTCTGCACCTGTAAATAACATACAGAATTTTAATTTACTGTTACAGTACTGAACACTTAAAAATATCTATGTTTATTAGAGATCAGATAGCCCTATAGCATGGAATCTAAATTTAGTGGAAAGGTTACAGTCATTAAACCAACTTGGATTTGTTTTCAATGAATTATCAGAATATTGGCTTTTTTGGGGAACAGAATGAATTTGATACAATGACCAAAGCCACAAAACCAAACCACCCCCCCCAATAAATCACTGAATAATTACTACGTGATCCTTCAGCTTACTGAAATGCAGAAATACTTTTTTCAACTTTCGATTATACATTTGCCTCATTTTTTGCTTCTGTAAAAACAAAATACACCGTATACACAATAATGTATAATGTTACCTATTTCACCTTTTAATAATTTTAAAGTATTTTATGAACTAATTTTTTAATTTTCAGGTAGCCCAAATTTAGAAAAGCTTTCTCTAGGCCCCTAAATAAAAATGTCCTCAACCACAGGAACATATATGGGACAACAGATAGATGGAATCTGCTGGAAGAGTGTACAGAACTCCCATCTGACCAAACTGGCCTTTAGTTTTTATGTCTCTGACCTTATTTCATCTATGAAGCCTTCTGAAAGTGTGGTGTCTATACAGCTCACTTGGAGACAACAGTGATTTCATTTTTCAAGTAAGAAAAATTTTAACTGTCCAATATATTTAAAGTAAACAGTTAAAATTAAGATGGCTGGTTATCTGGATATCTGTGTTTTAGACAGTAGAATAAATTAGAATTCCAGTTGTGCTCATATCCTCTCTCCCTTTTTATTGTGCCCCAATTTCTGTTTTTCTACTTCAGAGTGGTGCAGACTTTTTCTGGAATCTATGCTCCAACAGATCACTAATATACTCAGCATGTATTCAGGTGTATGTGGTTAATTCTTGTTATTCTAGTGAGGATTTCACTAGCATGACAAAGATTAAATTTGGCACTACAACTGAATACTACTGTTTCTTGTTCTATTCCATATCTCTCTAGAGCACCAAACTATAATGCAAATCTAGTTCTGAATACCTAGAAAAAGCCTGAAAAACACCCCTTGCATAGCTATTTTCAGAGCAAAACTGTTAAATTCAACATGCAAGATAACATGGGTTAGACAGCCTTTATCTTCTGTTTACAGAAGGGATATGGCATTGGCAGTGTACATTTACACACATAATTCTACAGTTGTGCATATTTAGATTTTGTGCTTGTTCATCCTCAGATTTATTGATGCAACTGTTAGTACTAATCGTTCCTTCTTAATAATTGTAAATGTAATACAGATGAAGCACTTGTATTCTAGTCCTTACAGTCAGCTCACAGGTAGAAAGGTACTGCTTGCCACTTCCCACAGCCATCCAGTCCCATTTTTATTAAGCTTAGGATATACAGATGCTTGTAAAAAGTACCTTATTTAGTATTATTGGGTTTTTTTCAGATATAAACATGAGCTGAAGCTATTATAAGAGTCTTTAACACAGAGAAGCATATGCAGATGTAGATGTCTATATGTATTTTTTTCACTATTGGTACATGCATTTTTGCCATTCTTAGTTTGGAACCTGACCACACAAAAAATTGGGCTTAACCAAACAAAATCAAAACAAGATATATCAAAATTATCCTGGAAGTTCTTGAAGAATTAGAACATGGTTAGTTCCAGATCTCTTTTTGTTTCTTTGTTTTCAATGAAGTAGAGGGAAAGCTAAATCAGTCTGCTACTCCTAATATAGTAACTTGGAAGAAAATTACATATGCTTATTTGTGCTGTACTCATTACAAAAGCTCTGCTTTCTTGGTGCATTTCACAAGTCACTAGCCTGTGACATGGCTCAACGTTTTGACTCTTGTGAGAAAATTCAAAACAAAGGAGAGAATTCTGCCATACACTGCATATGTTCACCAGTATTTTCAAAAAGTTGCAAAAATATTTGAACAACAGTTAGTGCACACAAAATGCTAGTACTTTGGTGTAGACTACAGCAACTCCAGAGTGACATTGCTGTCCACAATCAACAGCACAACATGGATACTGTTGCAGTCACATTCTTTATTGAAAGTTATTACATAAAGATGGAAAAACACAGTAATATTTAAAAGACTGCCGACAGCAAATTTTACATATGCAGCATATCTGAATAACAAGCACTGTAAATTCTTACATTACAATATAAATTTATGCAGACATTCCATTTCAATTGGGATAAAATACTGCAGTGATGTACTCTATAAAAAGCAGACATTCATTTCAATTGGGATAAAATACTGCAGTGATGTACTCTATAAAAAGAATGAACAGAATATGGCACTACTGATTTCTTCTACACTCAGTTTAACCCATAGCTACTTATTTGAAAACAATGCATATAGGCCAAAACTCTGTTCTTTGGAAAAATGTTCTATAATGTCAATGACTTAGCAGCCTGCATTTTTACTTAAGTCTGCCTAATGCTAAATAAATCTTACTTACATTTTAAAACATTTTGCATTTTGATGATTTCATAATTTCAAATAATTTTATATTGTAAATTGTATCATTTACAATACTTGTAAATTGTGATTATAAACAATAATTTGGGTTTTCATAAACACCCCCTAAGTACATATTTACATTGTCCCACAGAAGCTATAAGACTGTGTTTAGTGTATGACTGATTATAATAATTGCATTCTATATGGGAATTTGAGAGTATCAAATTAGTGTTTAATATCTGCAGTGACATGTGGCCAAAACCAGGAAGCTCACAAGTTGTTTTTATTAAATCCCCTTTTAAACAATCTTGGAATGATTTGTTTATCAAAACTTCTATAGCTGGACAACCAAGTAGTGTCAATTTAGTCATTATTTAAACTTGCATGGAAAAATCTTAATTTTGTAAGCTTTCCTGTTTAATATACAAAAAAGTTCATTTGTGATGTGAAGAAAGAAAAAAATAGTTTGGATAGCAAGGAAGATTTACTGCAGTCTCTTTGGGGAAGCAAAGGTGTTAAAATACACAGCACTTAATGAAGCCATACTGTTCTACTCTCCTATTGCCTGTACCATAATAGTCCCATATACTATAGAAGTAAAACCTAAATCGAACATACTATCTCTAATTATCTTTAATACACAGGTCACAAAAGTTGCATGATAAATGAGGAAAATATACAGGAGAGATGTAGAAATAGTGGAATCTTCTAATTATTGGATGATAGAAGGCATCCAGCAGCAGAAAACGAGATACCTAGTCGAGGAAAAAAAAACAAGACTCCCAAAGTCAAGACTCTTAGAGGACACATTTGAACAATGATCTCCTTATCTTCCATACCAAATTACTATCTAAGCTATGCACCCTGTAAAAGGTCTAAATTAGAGAAAGAAGATCTTTTAAAACTCTTTTCCAGTTCTTTCACCCTCAATTATAGAATCCTTAGCCTTTTTTTGAAGCATCTTCAAACCTTACACCACGATGCACTGCGGGCAACTTGGAAATAAATAGAGATATCTATTTTTCCATGTTGTTCAAGGATTTATAGCAACTTATAAAAAGAATGCCAGTATATATATGGTAACTGCACCGAAATTCTTCTGTAAACATTTTGGGACTAAACAACCATTTCTTTTTTCTGGGTTTGTAAAGTACCTGCTGCAAAGGGGTCCTAGTGTACAACAGTGGTTCCACGTACCATGTCAATAGGAAAACTAGTGCTTTATGCTTTAAAACACTTTCTCAGTTTTTATAGAATGGACCACGTCCTCATGTAAAGGTGATTTTCACTGATCAACTCCAGTCTCCTTTAATATGAGTTATTTCTCATCCTCACTGCATGACTAGTTGGTTATTTTAAGTCTAACAGTCAGTTCTCTATAAAGTTGGGTAAGTTTGAGACCAGCTGCCATAATATGCCGATATGTCATTTTCATGTTTAAATATTCAAGAACATATATTTATTAAACTGAAAACAGACAATATCCTAGTCTTCTCTTCTGAGAAGATATGGTGCACCAATGGAGAATAATTTGTCTAATACCAATAAATGCTTCAGTGTGCACATATAATTTATTTTTATAATTAACACGCATACATAGGATGGTGTAGGACTCTGAAATGCAAAATTTTACCTTCTTTTCAGGCTTGCCTACTTAATACTCAGTGGAATAACAACAGCTTTATATTTCTGACTGCTACTAAAAATCTCCTTTCCAGACTGAATATACATGCCATTGGTTGACAGCAGAACAGCAGCCATGGTAAATAAATCAAATGCACAAATGGAACATATTTTTTGAAATACACAATTTACAAGAATGAGGAAAAAAAAAAAATCTGTCATTTTGTTTGACAGCTATATTTCTACCTTGAGCATTGTCGCACATCTACAAAGGATCAGAATGGATAAATATGTGATGCTTTATTATGGTCCTACCCAGTCAATTGCACCAAATTTGACTTCTTAAGTAAAAATATTAAAAAAAAAAAAAAAAAGGAATAGTAGTCCAAGAATATGCAACACTAAAAAATTTCTATCAGAGACTTACAAGGTTAACTTCAGACAGCTTATATAAATACTATAGGAAAAATAAAGCTATCATTAGTTAGACTCCCAAATAAATTGAATCAAAGTATTCTGAAAGCAAATGGCTTTTAAGTACTCATATCAGGAAGATAATACAGTTTAGCATTGTATTAGGTTCACTTACAAGATTAAACATAACATTGACTAGTCTAATCTGTTGTTCAGAAGAAACTTGACACCATGAAACATGGATCATGTTTAAAGCAACTGCTTTGGAAGCTGTACATGCAAAAACCTTGTCCTCCAAAGTCAATAATGGTATGTTTCTGTAATTCTAAAATATATTTTAAAAAATTAAATACACTTTTCAAATGTATAATACACTTACAATTTCTTTAAGACTGGAAAGAGCCTCAAATGAGACTTCATCTTCAAGAGATGAGGAAAGAAACAAAGTAGGCCATATATCATAGAAAACTTCAGTGCTCCACATAGGCTTAATCATTAATCAACAATCATTTAAAAGTAACCACTAACGCTGTGACTTAGACATAGTCAGAAAATAATACATATAATGTAAAAGATAGGTCAACCCCCCCTAATCTCCCTACACAAAACACATCAAATACACTTATTTTAAGAGACAGGGGAAAAATAATCTGCTTTAATGCACTTAGTACTGTTTTCTTCCTGGAGCTCCCTAGCTGTATACTGTACAGACTCTAGTACTTACAGTGTCCAATTCTTCCTGCAGTCTTATTTACATTTTTCCTCAGCAAACGTCTGAGGGCAAAACAATCCGAGAGAAATGTCGAGGTCACTTTTAGTCAGATCACAGATATTTTCATCCTGTCTCCATACTGAGAATTCCAATCACAGAAAGCAGCCAGTATTGTTTTAAAATGCCCTCTCTGTGACCCTGTTCCTCTGAAGGTCAAGTGCACTATCATTCCCTGTAACCAAGGAAGCAGAATCAACGTGTTCCTGCTGTTTTGCCAGCTGCTGAAGGAGTTTGTCTAACAGTAAGATTAATTTCATCTGGGGAAGATAGTCCTAGGTTATCAAACTTCCCTCTCCCTCTGTTCTCAAGCCCCTCAGCCTGGTCACTGTGAACTGTAAACAGCAAAATGAAATCCGAGAAAAGACTTTGCCTGTATCTTGAATTATTTTCAAATCAGCAAAATTGAAAGGAAAATCCACCACATTCCCTGTGGAGCATCTTTATTTAGCCTCAAAGTTCATTAAGCTAATGTGTTTAAAGGAACATAGGCCTTTCTAAACTAGTCCTGGGCCCTCAAATATGAAGTAGCACAATCAATCTTAATACACTTCAGAATTCATACACTAAGTTCATGACACACGTGTGATTAATTAGTTTAAACTCCTTAACAAAGGAGGCTTAACATGAGGCTGCAGTGAAGGCTGACAAATGGGTGAAAACAGAAAATATTTTTAAATTTTTAGAGAGTGAAATTTGTTAAAGTTATGGTATGTAAAGTTTTGGGAAAAATGACCATGTACTTGACAAGTTTTACAACAGTAAACTTGAATGCAGTGGACTTCCACTACAAAGCCTTATGCAACAAGTGCATGACCTAGGTGTCTTTAAGTAGCACTGGTATTTTATTTTAACTTCAAGGACTCCTAATCTTAGCATAGAAGTGTGCTCACTATTGAAATTAGGCTCTTTACTTGATAGAAAACCCACTTATCTATTGTACAACTCTCTAAAAATAATATCTATGAATAATTACTGTAAAGGAGTATATTTACAGCATGGGTACAACGTAAATGTTAGGTCAACTACTTGTGATCTACTGTGGGGAAAAGCAGTATACCTAAAACATGTGAGAAAACCCAATGAAATTTTAGTTGGATTTTCCTTGTGCTTATTATCTACTTAATAACATGGTCACTCTAGGCTTTTATGTGTCCAATTCATTCAGGAAAGACATTTATGATACCTGATTAGCAGCTGTCTTTCCTGGGACAAAAACCAAATCCTGACTATAATAACACTTTATCACTACAAAACCCTCTGTTCAGAAGTAGACTTCCCAACTCTGAAGTTTGGAATAGCTGTATTGCAAAGAGAAGGTGGAATCCTTGTAACGCTTAAGCAGAAGTACTATAAAAGTACATAGTATGAAAAAAAAGATTAAAAGTTGCTTTTTTTCTGAATCAAAAGACAAGCTGGCAAAGTAATTGAAATTTGAAATAAAATACGAAACCTATCAACTATAGTGTACTAATGTAGTTAGTTAGTACTACATTAGTAGTAGTACAGTAGTGCTAAAATGAAATGCTAATGTAGTAGTTAGTACATTAGTAGTTACTAATGTAGTTAACAGCTTTGTCACAACTGCCTAAGTCACCCACAAAATCTCAAAGACTTGATAATATAAAATATACAAAATACATCTTTAATTAAGAGTAATGTTACATTCTTAGGGCCTGATAATTCTTTTTTTGATGGAACTTTCTCAAGTACTATATGCTGCACAGAAATACTACAGCTACAAAGGCGTTCACTCTTATTTTTATAGGACATCAACTATGCTACTGTAATAAACATCCATAGCGAAATAGAATTAGTATTTTGTAATGTTAGAGTTTCTAATATTTCAACAGTGACATTTTTATAAAACAATGCTTACAAGAGTATATATTATGTTTAGTATAACAGAGGGCCTCTTAAGTTAATGAGAAATTCTGAAATTACTGTACCTAGTAATTTTCGCAGGAAAACACTGTTCAGAAATTAGTTCAGAAACCTATTATTCTACTTAGAGTCTTATTTTTGTTGTTGTATGTATTTCACTTATTGGAAATGTCAATGTAAGAATGCCTATGACCTCTCTGGCATGTGCTTGCAGAAGACTGGGACCGTATCTTGTACTGGAATTTTTGCTAATGTGCCCAGGGATTGTGGAAGTCGATCTGTCTCAAACTGGAGGGAGGGGAAAAGAGGAAAAAGCAATCAGTATTAAACGTAATTTTAGGACTTAAGAAGACTCCACATTTCTCAAAGCAGTTTTCAGATTCACAGCATTAACCCATCCTATCTAGTACAGATTAAAAACATTTCATGCTTAACTACTGTTTGATTTCCTTAAAAGTCCATGAGGATGCAACTGGTATTTTCATTTTAGCACTCACATTGCAAACACTATTTATACGCAGGCAGAGTGGGAGAACAAAACAATTTCATGAAGCATGCCAAGTGTACTTCTGCTATACCACTGGAAGATAGAAGCTGAACACAAGTGGCATAGCATGGAGAATTGTCTGCTTTGGACCAGTCAGCAGAGGACTGCATTCACCTGGGCTCTCAAACCAACAAGTATCACTAGCAATAATTTCATATGCTGCAGTGTATATAAATTAATTAATAATGATTTGCATTAAATGACACAGAGGATCTGCACAAAACTCAAGAAATATAAAAATACACTTCGAAACATACATATCTACTGCCTTGCTTTTTTCATCATTAAACTAAAAACAAGTATTTGGCAATTAGCTGCATTTTGAAGGCTGGCAAAATTAAATTTGGCTTCTTCTCTTTCATTTATTCATCATTTTGTCATTTTGTATACATAAAAATGTACATATATAAAATTGTATGTTTATACTTATTTTTTCCGAATTTTTACCAGTAAAGTAGTTCACTTTAATTCTACATTTTAGTTGCAATCATATTATATTAAATTTCTGATATATAAGGTATATATAAAATACATAAATGTATATATAAAATAAGTAGTTTGAAACTAAGGTTCTCTAGACATTTTATTATTTTTATGTCCTTTGAAATAAATAAGGTTTCTTCATAGCCATACAGTCTAGTTGAAGATCTAGTTGAAGATGTCCCTGCCCATGGCAGGGGGGTTGGACTAGATGACCTTTAGAGGTCCCTTCCAACCCAAACTTTTCTATGATTCTAAGTCGCATACTAATTTACTAAACTGACTTGCCCATAGTGTACATATATATCTATACGTGTAGGTGTGTTTATATGAGCATATGTATATATTTAATAAATTTCTGTACTTACTAACCAAATTCTCAATACTTTCTACAGCTTATTTCCCCACTACCACATTGATTATGAAAGCAATATTTGAGAAATATATTGAAGGAATAATCAATCGGCCATGTAGTGGAGGAATTTTTAAAGCCTCCAAGCTTCTCTAACTTAAGTAGAAGAACATTTCCTATATTCACGCCACTAAAAGCCAAAGTAATTGTATTGCTTGAATACACTGGTCAGTTCTCACTAAGCATAAACCAATTTCAGAGAAATTATTAATATATAGAAAAGAAAATAGAAATTAAAGTAAGGCATAGTTAAGCAATCACAGACCAAATATGCTCAACTGCACCCTGAAATTTAAATTATTTTTTACAATTTTTTTCCCATAAAAGTTAAAAAATTTCAATGAAAAATATGGTACCAAGTTTTACACCATAAAAAACGCTACATCTCAAATCAAATCAGAAAGACTTATTTTTCTATAAATATTTTTCCTAATGAACTTCTTCACCTATTAAATTAATAATAGGCTTTTATGAAAAATGTGTGTATTGCCTGGAAATGTCCAAATATATTTCTTTCACAGATGTAAGATATATCTAAAAAAAGTTTCAGTGATACTCTCTGGAATTAACTGTCCTGACCACTTGGGTCCTTTGTAGAATGGCAGATAAAATTCAGATCCACCATGGAAGAACTCATCTGTAGTTTAACTGCCCTAACAGGATGCAAGATGCTGATGCAAGATCTTGCATGAGACATATGAAGGCAACAGTCATGGAAGAAGCTGCAATTCTTGGCATATCTGCACTGCCAAAAAATCACAGACTACACCTTACATAACACCCCAATTCCTACATTACACCAGCGGCTATGCCACATCTGGTAACATTCTTGAATTCAGAGGCTGCCAAACTGCGTAAGCCATGTAGGATCTCATTACTCCAATATGCACTTTGTGTGAGATACCTCAGGCTGACAGTATGTCTAGGTCTTATGCAATTAACAGTAACTTGAGAAAAGCTATACTTGAATTAAAAATTGTTTGAGAAGACTCAGCGTCAAAACTCCACCTTGAAAATTCACCAAGAAATGAGAAAATGGCCAATGATAATAATAAAATATTAAACATAAATGGACTTACTTTACACTTAATTAATTCTTACAACAAAGCAAAAACTTATTCCATCACAACAGCAGTGTTTCTACTCTCCTTTTTCAGCACATCGTGCTTCACCTGGACTTAAACCTAAATTGCTGAATTACTTATGATGTAACGTGTCAGAGAGATCTGAAGCGGGTCAAGAAAATACTTTATGTGACAAAGATATCCAGTATTTTTTCAGTCCCATGGCAAACCATACTTTTAGAAAGACCCAAGGTGTTGATAGGTTTCTTATCAGCGCACTGAGGGAACTGAAAGCAACTGAAATCCTCCAGCAATGCAACTGGCATAAACGAGATCCCAGTAAGCAAGGGCTCAACAGTCATCTCCTGTGCCTCTCTCCCTATAGCCTCTGACAGAGAAAAAGGATGCACTGGGAATAGTTTGTGGCCGTCATGGAACTGAAAGGGGACAGTTTTAGCAACTACTAAAAGTTCTTCCTGGTCACATCAGAGCTGATGCTGGAAAGAGGAAATAGCCCTTATTCCTCCCCACAGTGACAGTTCTGTTTAAAAACCTTGCATTAAAACCTAAGGCAATACACAGAGAAATACATCTCCACTTCATAACCAAACACATTTTTCTTAAACAATATGCAAATCGAAGCTACGTTGGTGCTG